TTTTGATCTGCCCAAATCTATCTATTTGCCAACTGATGAACCAACTAGCAAATTAAGCTTGGATTGAGTAGTGGGACGAACCATTTATAGCATTGGTCAATCCAAGTTAAATAAGTCAATTTTTTTCAATTTGAATTTTGAAAAGAAACAAGTTCATTTTTCTAACCTCAAATATAAATTGTTAATTATGTATGACCTGAAAGTTGTAGCAGGTTCTATCAGATAGGTTCCATCAAATTATATAATTTGTGATTCAGTCACATCTCAACCATTGCATCGAGGGCCATACCAGGTTACATCTTTGATATAATACATATATCTGTACACATATATAGGACAATGAAATCAACATGAAATTTTAACCAAAAAAAAAGAAGAAGAAGGTAATGTTACATATAGATCATATTTAATTTGACAAGTCATGCTTCACAAAATGAAAAATCATAGCAAGACAGTGAGAACTATCTCAATATAGTCTTAAACCTATACTATCTATACTATATCTATATATAAATGTAGTGTAGTTTCTAAAGCTTCCAAACTCTTAAACTTGGCCTCTCATTTAAAATTGAGACAATCTCTTCTACTTGGCAGTCTAAGAAGTTTTTCTTTTCATTTTTCCTAATTTCTAATAAAAAGTCATTTTTATATATATTTTTAAAAAAAAAGTAAAATTTGAAATAATATGCATATAGAACTCAAAATATGACAAACTCTAATTTAGATATTTCAAATCTAAATATTAAAAAATAAATGACATATTCCACTCTCAATTCTTCGAAGACATGATCAAATCTAATTTAAGATTCCAAATCTAATTATTAAAAAATAAATGGAATATTTTACTCTCAATTCTTCTATTACTAGCATGTCACCCATGCTATGCACATGTGATGACCACCTCCTTAATTAAGAAAATTAATTATGTTGATTATATGCTTATTGTTAATTATGTGATTAAGTGTTATGAAGTGTTACGGAATTGCCATGTGATTATTTGAATTGTGTTATTGTGGACAGATATGTTAGGGTGAAAATTAAACCTGTATGATTCGTTAATTTTAACAAGTTACAATTAAGAAATTGGATAAGAATTAGAGCCTAATCCACACTAATAAGATAAAATTTGACAAAATTAAGATTATATTGGGATAAGGATTAATTTAATTTCATTAGAAATGAGTTATTAGCTTTAGTTAAATTAATTAAAATCCTACTCATCTATTTACCCATTTAATTGGTATAAGGGAAGACAGTAGGTTTGGTTGAGTCATTTGCGCACACACACGTAGAGAGAGAAGGGAAGAGTAGGCATTTAAGAGTTCATCAAGAACACCAAGAAGAAGAAGAAAATTGAAGGAAAAGTAGAAATTCATCGTAGATAACACAATTCTTTAACCTCTAGGTAAGTGTTTTTCTCTTGTATCTCATCAATTTGAAGAATCATATGTATATTTATAGAATTCAAGATCATTTAAGAAGAATCTAAACTTGATTGTAAGATTTGTAGAAATAAATGGAAAATTAATACATGCATGGCAAAATTCTTGAACAATCATGATCATATAACATGAGTAATTGAATTAGAGAATATGAGACCAATCCGAGACCCGAGAATGTGATTCACATGTTTACGATGTGAGAATTGGACTAAATAAGAAACCAATGTCGCTAAGCCGTGATGGCCAAGTGTATGTGTAATGATAAGATATGTTTGTGTTATGTACTTTGTGGTTATAGGTCAAGACTCGAAGATGGATCGACCATTTATGGGAGTCTACTGTGAGTAACGTTATTGTAAAGATATGTTCTTATGAATTATGTTCCAAATGTGACTTGATAAGTTATGATTCTAAAATGATGATTATTTACGTGAACGAATGTCCTATGTTTAAAATCTATTATGGTATCCATAGATAGTCCCAAGTCATGGGGAACGACATGTTAATACGGGTCCTTGACATATATGTGATTACGAGATCTCATTAGCCATTTCATTGTGGTGATATGTGTTTAATCGGTATCGGGAACCGATTACTCTAGTCGGAAGATGATATGTGATGTGTTCTATGGGATGTACCATTATTATGTTCAAATATGAGAATGATTGTGTTATGATCTATTTTATGATTATGAAATGTTCGAAATTCGTTCACTAACCCCTTTACCTTAATGTTATTCACTGGGCTTTAGCTCACTATGTGTATATATATGTATAGGTGAGCGTTCTGGAGATCAGGCCAGAAGACTTTTGTCTGGATCTGTGTTCTGTTGTCAGCTAACCATTATGCCTCATGTGGAGGTTCCGGAAGTGTCACGTGTTATAAGTTCTGGTTGTTTCTGTATATGAGACTTGTTTGTTTTTGCTGGTTGTAGTTAAGATGCTATAATGTGTGTAGGTATAATGCAAGAATGACTTTTGGATATGTATATAAAGTTTTAAATAGTCTGTTTCATATAAGTCAATACAACTCATTGGACAATTATATTTATGTTTTTGCTTCCCTAGCCCCTTATTTTGTGATTCTGTTTCAGAGGCTATAGGTAATCTTAGGATTACTGGCCAGTTACGGCGCTAAACCTATAGGGGTGGGTTTGGGTCGTGACACCAAACCTACCATTCCAAATCTAATTATTAAAAAATAAATGAAATATTTTACTCTCAATACTTTTATTATTAGAGTTTTATTGATTTGCTTTTTTTTCCCCACATTTATCTTATTTTTTTGAAAACTCCTCCCTCCCTCTTCCTCTCTTAGAAGATTTTATTTGATATTCTTTTTCTATAATTCTTAAGAGTTTTATCTTCAAATTTAAACTATTGAGTCTATCCGATTAAAAGTTATATATTATCCTTTCACGATCATGTTGATCAAGTGTTGCTACTTTTCTGATTGTGATTTTTGGATTTTCAATATTTTTGTGTTTTCCATGTATGCTATAAATCTATTCTTTCTCATTCAATTGATTTGCATGCGTGCTTGTTTGTGTTACTGATTTTGTGTGTGTATTTATGCTACATTGAGGAAATGTTTTTTTCCCTTTTGGATTGGACATAAAGGAAAATAGTACAGCAAATTAGAGACAAGAAGCCTGAGAAACTTATCTCAAATCATAGTAGAAGAGGTGTCTCTCAATAGCACAATGGTTAGAAATGAAATGCAGAAACAACCAATAATTTTTTTCTCATTATGATGTGGCCTGAGCATTATTATTTATTTATTAAATGTCTAGTATGATTTATATTTTATACGATAAATTTTGAATGAATATTACTATCTGTTCATTATGTTTCTTCTCATTGATGGTATACTTCTATTATTGAAATAGCTTGAATATACTTGCACAAAGACACAATTTTTGTATTTATTGATAAAATTACAGGTTTGATATGCGTTAGAAATTTCAATAGTGCTCATATACATTAGATTTTTGGTAGAATGCAATTTTAATGGTGTTCATATCAATTGTCTTTTGGTTGTAGCATTGTTCTTGTTAGTCTTTGTTTTTTTTCTTTTCTTTTGTTTTTTTTTTACAAGTCTTACTTTGAGATATCGTAGGAAATGTTTTTTTAATGGTACTGCTGTGGATGATAGTATGAGTGCTCCAATCAAAATCTAATTTTTATTTTGTTTTACAAAATCCAAAATATAATATGTACATATTTGGTTTGAAAGATATTTTGTTTTGAAATGAAAACTCTACCATACTACACTACAAGAAATTTCACTTTTGGCAACTAAAATTTTAGTTGCCAAAAGTCTTATTTTAATTGCCAATTACTTTTGACGACTAATATATTTGATCACCAGTTTGGTCACCAATAGTTCGTCAAGGAAGACAACCGTCGACTAATATTTTTTGATAGCCAAAAAGTGACCTATTGGCGACTAAAACTTTAAGCGCCATATATTTTTACTTTTAGCGACTAAATTATTTGATAGCCAATTAAGCTTGTATGTTTGACAACAAACTATTTTAGTCGCCATATATTTTTTAACAATAATTAAATATACATATATGTATATATATATATTTTTACTTTTAGTGACTAAATTATTTAGTAGCCAATTGAGCATATATACTTGGCGACTAATTATTTGATAGCTAAACGTTTCACTTTTTGAGAATTGATGACTAAAAATTTAGTAGCCAAAAGTTTTTTTTTACAATTGGCGACTAAAAGTTTAATAGCCAAAAGCTTCAATTTTTTTACAATTGGCGACTAAAGTTTTAGTAGCCAAAGTCAACATGCGATATTTGTTTAGTCACTAAAAAGTCTCATTAAGTTTTTATAAATTGTTCAGTAATATTTTTTGCGCCACCTGTAACTTGCGCATATACAAAATTATTCATTCATTCATTCAATTCTCAACCATTTGATAAAAATATTTCTCCACAACCTGTAGCATTCAATTTCCAACCATATACAAAACTTAACTATTAACTGTACATATCAAAGAAAATAAGAATCCATAAACATAGTATAATCCAACAAATACGTATACTATCTAAACCAACAATTAAAATCCAAATTAAACAAAATCTTACTAATAAAACATATCAGGTGTACATGTTTTCCATAAACAAAAATATAATGTAAATTACGCCCGTACAAACATCATCAATCTGTCCCAAAAACATCACTGTATCCATGCCAACATCATCAATCTGTAACAAAAAAATAATATCCATTAACATTTTATTGAATAACATTCGCATTTACAGTTTCACTTTTTGAGAATTGACGACTAAAAATTTAGTAGTCAAAAGTTTTTTTTTTACAATTGGCGACTAAAAGTTTAATAGCCAAAAGCTTCAATTTTTTTACAATTGGCGACTAAAGTTTTAGTAGCCAAAGTCAACATGTGATATTTGTTTAGTCACTAAAAAGTCTCATTAAGTTTTTATAAATTGTTCAGTAATATTTTTTGCGCCACTTGTAACTTGCGCATATACAAAATTATTCATTCATTCATTCGATTCTCAACCATTTGATAAAAATATTTCTCCACAACCTGTAGCATTCAATTTCCAACCATATACAAAACTTAACTATTAACTGTACATATCAAAGAAAATAAGAATCCATAAACATAGTATAATCCAACAAATACATATACTATCTAAACCAACAATTAAAATCCAAATTAAACAAAATCTTACTAATAAAACATATAAGGTGTACATGTTTTCCATAAACAAAAATATAATGTAAATTACGCCCGTACAAACATCATCAATCTGTCCCAAAAACATCACTGTATCCATGCCAACATCATCAATCTGTAACAAAAAAATAATATCCATTAACATTTTATTGAATAACATTCGCATTTACAATTATATAATAAATAAATAAATAAATTAGATACAACTTGAAAGTTATTATTTTCATGGAATCAATTACAAAATCATTTTATTTTTTAAGTAATTAGAAACTAAACAAAAACAGAAACAATGGTGATTACGCTCATATGGAGTCAAAAGCTTTTAGGGGTAGCAATTTGCAATATCTCAGCAAGAATGTTATAAGAAATCCATTGGAAGGAGTCCTATGGATGTCCAAGGTGAAATTTTGGGAGGAAGCCCATGTTAGCAAGGAAGTCACATTGGTAGTCTTTTTTATCAGAGAGCCCCACTGGTGCCAACCCAGCGGTGGGGCAGGATGTAATTTTTGAAACCTCAAAGGGTAATATGTAATTTAGCTAAACTTCAAGTGGGGTGTATGTAATTTGCCCATCAAAATAAACAAGTTTTCAAGTCCTAATATGACCATGAAAAAAAAAGAGAAGGAATGTTCCCAAGATTTTCTTTTCCCAATTTTTTTATTATCCAATTGTTCTATTAAGGAGATCTACACCATCTCTACTTTTTGTATTTGCTTTATTATAGCTGAAATTTCATATTTGTCACGGAGAAGCTGTCCGTGACAACCACACGATGACTCGGGGCTGTTTTAGATTTTCGCCCCCAGAACGCCATTTTTCGATTAAGTTTAAGGCGTTTTCAACTCTAACTCCTAATCTACGGGTCCAAATTACATTCCGTCTATTGTCACAGGTCATATTTGTCACGGGGAAGCTGTCCCTGACAGCCACATGGTGGTTCGGGGACTGTTTTGAATTTTCGCCCCTGAAACGCCATTTTTCAACTAAGTTTAAAGCGTTTTTGGCTCTTAACTCCTAACCTAAAGCGTTTTTGGCTCTTAACTCCTAACCTAAGCGTGCTATTTACATTCCGTTTGTTGTCACAGGTCATATTTGTCAAGGGGAAGCTGTCTGTGACAGCCACACGGTGGTTCGGGGGCTGATTTGAATTTTCGCCCCAGGAAAGCCATTTTTAGACTAAGTTTAAAGTGTTTTCGGCTCTAACTCCCAACCTAAGCGTGCTATTTACATTCCACAGGTCGTATTTGTCACGGGGAAGCTGTCTGTGACAGCCACACGATGGTTCGGGGGCTGTTTTGAATTTTCTCCCTCTGAACGCCATTTTTCGACCAAGTTTAAGGCGTTTTCGGCTCTAACTCCCAACTTACGCGCGTTATTTACATCCTGTCTATTGTCACAGGTCGTATTTGTCATGGGAAAGCTGTCCGTGACAGCCATATAGTGTTTCGGGGGCTGTTTTGAATTTTCTCCCTCTGAACGCCGTTTTTTTACTAAGTTTAAGGCGTTTTCGGCTCTAACTCCCAACATACGCGTGCTATTTACATCCCGTCTGTTGTCACAGGTCGTATTTGTCATGGGAAAGCTGTCCATGACAACCACATGGTGGTTTGGGGCTGTTTTGAATATTACATTCCGTCTATTGTCACAGGTCGTATTTGTCATGGGGAAGCAATCTGTGACAGCCATTTCGTCTTTTTTTACATAATTAATTAATTAGTTAACGAATTAATGTGTTATTTCGGTTCTCCTCTTATTTGTATAATGTCAAAACAATTCCAAGTTCTCCAAAACAATAATGTCAATATGTGAAGTATTTTTGTAGAACTTTTAGTATCATATAAATAAAATTCTTCTTACCAAATAGGGCAATTGCCATCTGAACCCTGCAATAGAGTTGTGAGTCGTAAAACCACGTACAGGACAAAGTTGAGAAACTACCATTTAATACTACAAAAATAAAAATAAAAAAGAGTATGCCTAGTTTAGTCCCCATTGGATGTGGGTAGAGAGGTAGATTGAGTACAGACCCAACCTTTGGCATTATTTGTACAAAATGGCTACTTTCACAGAGATACTATGTTACAATATGTCAACACCACAATTCTGAACAATGAATTCATGAAGCATGTAATTCACTAGAATCAAATTTGTAACCTAGAAAATTGCTAAGGGCGATTACCATCTGAACTCTGCAACAGAGTTGGCATTATTTGTACAAAATGGCTACTCTCACAGAGATACGTGTTACTTGAACATGATTTTTTCTTCTACAATAACCAAAATAACAAGCATTAGCTATAGGGAAACAGACCACCACACAGAGACACACACACACCCAAATAAGGCAGGTAGTAAAAGCAACCTTGCATGGTAGTTAGTGCAGGAAAAATATTTCTGAGAAATAAAAAGAAAGAAGCCACTCTTATTGTAGATATAGCATTAAAACCAAATACCTTAAACCACTGTGTGTGTCTTTGCCTCAAAAAACCCAATTCACTTGCTGCCACAGAAGAGGAGGGTCTCTTGTCTTGGACCAATCTTCTACTTTGCAAGAATCTACTTCTCAATAATGACTTCAAAACAAGTACAACATAAAGCAGTCAAAAAGATTTCAATGCTTCATGGGCATAAATCCCAAACTTGTTAACATCATGGCTAAATACCAAGCATGGAAACAAAGCATAAAACAGATATATATATATATATATATATGTGTGTATGTGTGTGTGTGTGTGTATGTGTGTATGAATATTTTAATATAAAAAAGAAAAGACATAACTTGAATCATCTCGACAAGTAAACACGCATGATACACAACTTTCTCATAACATGCATTGAATAATAATTGTGATCTTTACACAGTATTCCTGTAGAATACAAAAAAGAAAAACTAATGAAACAATTTAAGAGAATAATTTGAAACATTCGAAGTCAAACTTAAATATATGAGGTATGAAACAGATCCAGCAATCACTACATACCAGAATGTTAGCACCAATACTAGTTCCAACAGCAAATAGAGGAGCCTTGGCATATTCATGATGAAGATAATGAATAACTTCACTTTTATGAATCCAACAAGTTAAAGTAGAGTTTTTCCCCTTTAAAATAATCCCACAAGATGTATAAATAGGTCCCTTACTAATCCTAGTTTAATCCTTAAAGTAAACCTTCAATCCAAATTCAACAAAAAGTAAGACAAACAATCCCAACCATACAAAAAAATTCAGATTATTTAATATGAGATTATATAGGTGTAGGAGTGATTGACACAAAGTTTAAAATAACTAAAGCCTAAATGGGTATCGAAACATGGAATTAGGAAATGGTACAAAAGATTGTATAGCAAAAACAAGTAATGTCAGCACAAACCTAAAGCAAAATCACCAGCCTAAATACTTTACCCCAGGCCTGCTAACCAATCCCCCTAATGCAAACTTTGACTTTTTGCAAGTTGAAAATAATATCATTAATTGAAAAATCCAAGGAGGGGCAAGATACTTTGATCCACATTGCAATCCTTAATTTAATAGTCTCACACAGCTCCCCAATTTACCAACAATTCCATTTTAAATTAATGAGCTCATCAAAACAACTCAAGAGGAGCACAAGGACATTGCAGAAACAGAGTGCAACCAGTGTAATTTTTCAAAACAAAGTTGTGATTGACTTTTGGCAAAGGATTGAATTTGAATTGGTATTTATCTTTCTTGTGAAGAACTGGATTAAAAGATTATAACATGGTTCAATAATTCAAAGTCCTGTAATCACATTATTCTTTAGCAAAGCAGAATAACCTTGGTACAGCAGCAAGTAATATTAAAAAATGAAAACCAGGTTAACTGAATATTTCTGTTTGCACTAAATTCTCTGAATTCAAGACAACATAGTTTTCTTCTGTTAATAGTAGACAACCAACAACACTTGATACATTATATTGATCTCAACTCTTAAAGGCCTCAAAACCATAGACTTACTGTATACCTTTGTTCATCACTATAGTGGGAGTTGTAGATAAATAAAAATCACCAAAACAAACCGATGCAAACTTAGCAAAGACCATAATATCATTATCAGATATGTAATTCATATGTGATTTAATGGAGCATGTCTAATCATGATATTATCAAATAGAAGAGGGAAAAAATCGGAGGAAATCAATTTCTACCTGCTGGTATTGCTCATCCGAACCTTCCACTTGGACCGGCACCATGGAGCCATGCACGGGCATCTGAAAAGAGGCATAATTTCCACATCTACGAATCAAATTCACCAAAACACACAGAAAAGAAAAAAATAAATAAATAAAAAAAATCCACAAAATCAAAAACTTGTGATGAAGTATGCATACAAGTAACATTCGGATCGGAATCGATTGGATGATTGGAATTGGAAAGCCATTGCTTCGCATGCTCAACGCAGGGGATGTATAATGAATCCATCGATCCAAACTCTATGGCCTTAATCCAAACCCTAGGAGCAGATTAAGATTGTAAAACAAGAAGAAAAGAAGGAAGAGAAGAAACAAAGAGAGAGGGGCTTCCGAGAGAGAGTTCTTCAATGGCGAATCAAGATCTGCAACTCTAAGGAGGAATTATCTGGGGGAGAGAGAGAGAGAGAGAGTACCTTCGTGATGTTCAGATATATCGACGGGTTGGATGGATAATACAATTTTGTGGATGGATCAGTCAAAATCAAAACTTAAATACGATAGATACATAACTATATGAATCGAAATCAGTCAAAACTTTAATCGGTAAAGAAAGCAAGCACAATGTCGAAGAAATCTACAAAAAATTGAACGAAGATTACGATATATATATACATAACTATGTCTACATGTATCGAAATCAGTCAAAAACTTCAGTCGGAAAAGGACTGAATAACCTGAATGTCGATGGGAGGCGAGGCAATGGTGAGTTGTGGTGGCTATGTTCGACGGTGGAAGATTGACGGACACGGTGGTCGTGTGTGATGCTGAGATGAGGGCGGGGTGATTGATTCTGTGTGTGTGTGTGTGTGTGTGAGAGAGAGAGAGAGAGAGGGAGAGCAAGAGAGAAAGAACAGTGTGAAGACTAAGGTAGCATTAAAAGCAGGGTGGTTGTGATGCCGTGGATGTGACATGTTAGGGTGATTTTTATTTTTTGTTTTCTAAATCTTTTTTATATTTGTGTCGATTGTAAATATTTTGGCTCCGTTTTGCGTAAGCCTTTTCAAAATAAATTTCTTACTTCATTGATTTTGAGTGTGTGTATAGAGCTTTAAATCATAATTCTACACTAATTTTTCTCTCTCTATCAATTCAAAACATAATCATTACTTTTCCCAAACCATACAAACACATAATTTTCAAACTTTTCTTTTTTCAAAACTCATTCAAAAAATTATTTAATTTTTTTAATATTTTTAATATTATAAATATTTAAAAATATTTTTTATTTTTGTTTAAGATTTTTAAATATTTTAATATTCTAAAATTATTTGTACGATTTTTTAATTTTTTAAATATTTCTAATTTCAAAATATTACTTATTTAATTTTTTTAATTTTATAAAATATTTTATTAAAAAAATAAATTCAAACTCTATTTTATAAAAATATTTTTTTTTTAAATATTTTAATTTTTTTATTATGCATTTGGTTCGATTTTGAGTGTTAGAGTTGTGAAAGTTAATATGGAATTTCCGAGTTTATATGATTGTTATGAGTTTTAAAAATAATTTCTTTAATTGAGTTTTTTGTTTTATATGTTTTGCGTTACGATTTGTAGTGTATAGGTTGTTTTTAAATTTAAAATATTACACATTTTAAATTATTTTTTTAAAATTTTGAATATTTTTAAAATATTTTTTTAATTTACGATTTTTTAAATTTTTTGAATATTTATTGAAAAAAAATTAATTTTCCTTCGTTTAGTATTTTCAATTTTAAAAATTGATTTTAATGTATTTTCCTGCTTAATAATAATTTTTTTTATTGAATTTTTTTAAAAGTTTTTGGTTATGAGTGTTTGATCAGAATTTTTAATTTAGTGTTGAAAGTTAGTGTGTTTTGTTATGAGTTTAGAATATTTTGAATTTAAGTTTTTTGAAAACTCTTTTCAAAACTTCATAACCAAACAATTTTTCTTTATCTTCACATGTTCAAATTCAAACTTTTTTCAAAACTTCAATTTTCACACTCAATTCAAAACTCAATTCAACACTCTATCACAAAACCATAACCATAACAAATTTTCTACACTCGAATCATAATCCCCAAACAACTCACAAACTCAAAATAGAACTTCATACTTTCTCAAATCCATATTTTACAAAAAACAAACCTTTTTCGCCCCCCTTCTTTCTCTCTCTTTTTTACCAAACGCAACCTTAACTTTTTTTTTTTTTAGAAAGATTTATAAAAAGATCATAAAGACAAAAAGAAAAGAAAAAAAAAAGAAAAAATCACTTCAAAAATTTATTCCAAAACACACCTTAAAAATAGGAGGGAAAGTTGATTGGGAATATTGCCAAATTGGCATTGCCACTATTAGAGTACCATTAGTATAATTTGATTATTACTTACTGTAGCATACTAAATTTACTAGTTTACAATGCCTATTTTTCTACAATACCATTGGAGAGCTTCTTAAGTTTGGCAAAAGCCGCCGCTTTTAGGCTTCTTGAAAATTTGATTTAAAAAAAGTTCCTAAATTTTGGTTAACTTTATGTTTAGCTTATAAAAAAAAAAACTTACTAGAATTTAACGATTTCAACAAAATTCAGTTATAATTTTAAAACTAATCTAGATGGTTGATGTTGGTAAAATTATTTTTAAAACTAATAGATTCAGTTGCTTTTTATTCGCAAAGAAACCAAAAAACTTACTGAAGGTGAATTCTTCGAAATCTATTGAATTGGTTTATTTTAAGTATTAGATTTATTATATTTTTAAAATACGGAAATTGAATTTTATACTATTACAATTTGTTATTTTTTTCAAATAAAATTTTATATTCGTTTAGCATCTTCTAGATACTTTTTTTCTCAATTAAATTTTTATTTATATATAAAAAATCTTATCTTTGCTCACTATGTTAAATGAAATATTAAAGATTAGCAATTTTATCCATCGAAAATAGATTTGCCCTTTATAAGTTGGATTTTATGCGAACTAGATTAGTTAATTTTTATAGCTAAAAAGCAAGAAGAATGATGTTTAAGTGATTTTTCGTTATAGTTGTTCATTTTTTATTTGATACTTTAGTTTAGATTATTTTTAATCATTTTTCTTATTGTAAATGGTAATACTAGTTGAAAGGTCCGTATGTTGAAAAGTTCACTTTGTGTCTCAAAACCAAAGTTAGGAGTTGACCCTGTTACAGGGTGATTATTCAGTAGTTCGTGAGTTCATGGTCACGTGATACCTCTATGGTAGTATGATTGATGGAGACATTGGGGCATCTTAATTATTTGTCATGCGCTAATTGAGGAATTATGAAGGTGGTGAGGGTATTGTTTACGTTGTAGTTTGAGAGTTGCCTAATAATTTTCCCTGTCAAGATTATTTTGGTAAAGGTGAAGTAAAGTGGGGGTTTTATGATTGAAATGAATCTGAGCATTAATGTAAAAATTTTGGATAATTCTGAGTTTTTATGGTTTATGGTTGTAGCATTAATTGGATGAAAGTGAGTTCTAGTGATTTAAACCACCTAGATTTTTTTAGGGGTGAGAGATTGTGGGTGGATATTTGTGTAGTGTAAGATCATGTACAAAATAGAGTGTAAAGACCCCAATAAAAATAAAAATCGTGGGCGAAATTACCTGAAGGGGACTTGCTCCACTTTTCGGTGGGAAAGTGTTTTAAGAAAAAATTAAATAAAATAAGAGCATAAGGCAGTCTTTTGGTGTGGGCTATTAAAAAAATAAAAATGCTGAGTGGGGTCAAAAGGGTGAATATGATGATGTTTCGATGGTGAGAGATACAGAGTGTAAAGAAATATTTTTTTTTAGGAGAAGAGATCAGGCACATATGTTTTAAAAGATCCAAAAGCCATAACAACTCAGTGAGCCTACTGAGTCAACTTTTTATGTGTTCTTCTTCTTCAGAAGAAGAACAAGTGATAGAGGAGAGGTGACAGCGAATAACATCTGGTTATAGGTTGAGAGTGGAACCCAAAGGAGCCTCAGATTAGTAGATCCCGAGTTCTCGATAGATGAGTAAGGAAGAGGATGGTGAAGCTTAGACTAACAAGTTCACAGAGAGCCAACTGTAAATCAGAAAGCGATTAAACGCCAGCGGAAAAATACTTAAATCATACTTTTAGCATGATAAACCTCGTGGTTAATAGAAATTATAAACAACTGTGGCTATCTAGGAATCTGAATCTAATCAAACCACAATGGAGTGGATATTACAGGAATATATCACCCAACATGTCACAGGTGCAAAATGCTTTGATCGTTGTATTTTGGCGAGAGTCAGTAATGGGAGAGCTTACTCGTATATGGAAAACACCATATGGACATACGTTATTCTTCTCTATCCATATATCCACATAATTATATCGCGATATATTAAAATCATATCAGAATAAATCCATAAATATCAGATCTACTAAAGGTTGATATGATAGATTAGATATCTTGAGTGATATCACAAATAGGTTTTTGAATTCAAATCAAACTATTTGGATAAGTTCAAAAGTTTCAAAGAAGGGTCAGCCTCATGGGGCGCCCCAATTTCTAAACATCTCCCACTCGCACATTGAGTTGGCATGACACTGCCACATCTCCTATCTCAATCTCCCTAAAAATAAACAATCTTCATACTAGCCAATGCACCGTGCACTCTGAGAACACATGTATATGGAGCTCTATACTAGAAACTCCAAAAATGAGCCAGCCATTAGAGACATCAGCCAAAAAGGAACAATAAATAGTGACTCATATACCCCAGACCCATTCTAATTACACCGTCCAAAAAAACATCTCTATCCTCAAAAAGAACATGTTTGACCCTCTTAAATTCTTGCCCAATATATTCACACTCAATCCCACTTCCTCATACAGAGCTGGAGTTGCCGGCAATGAATATACAACCAGTGTGTAATACTAGATTGATCTCCCTTTGCCCTCATGTCATTTAGTTTAGGATTGACCGCTTTCCCAGTGATGTCCCTTAAGGCCGAATCATACATGACCGCAGACAACATACCAAAGTAGCAAAACATCAACCCCTTACCTTATGACATAGTCAAAATTCACAAAAGGGTACATAAATGAAAGTCATATCAATAATGACATGTAAGACTCATACGGTGAGGAAACAGGGATCCATTCTTTCACCTCATTACTCGGTCGCCAAGCACATATAGTATGAATACATGCTACAGTGGAGTAACTTTTCCAAAAGAGTGACGTCATACTTGATACACTGTACAGATATTAGTCTAGTCGCTTTCTAGCGCCTAACCCGAATTCTCTATTTGCTCACCTTCCAGGCGCCAAATGAGATCTCCTATCTGGCTAATCATAACAGGCACAACATGGAAAGTGGGTACTAACATCCATGTTTGGTCCTTAAGACGACCTCATCTTGGTTGTAACCAAGGCGACATGCATAGTAGATAATTTAAGCCTCTCTTGGTGTTTGGTCCTTAACACGACCTCATCTTGGTTGTAACCAAGGCGACATACATAGTGGATAATTTAAGCCCTTCTTGGCTCCAAATAAAAATAAACCACTAGTCTTATCCTTGCTCGCTCCCAAGCGCCAAAGGCGATTGCTTGTGTGAGTGAGCCAATCTTGTCTGCTGACATCATCATTTACTAATCATTATGACACAAACCATAATAGTGTCAACATCCCATTATCTCATAACAAATAAGTGATCAATTTTAAAAAACCACAACCACAGTCTACGCAATTCTAGATTCCAAGTATAAGCCTTATCAGCACCTCTTGCGATAAGCATATACAACGGAATCCACCATTTGCGCCTCACATGAAGTGGTTCAAGATCACTACCTCTTGCGCAATTACCTCTCTAAAGATATTTTGGTGACCAATTTGCGTTCATTCTGGATGCGCCCAACTAGCGCATTGAATCTTACAAGGGGCAAATTTATATACTACTAGTAAAGCATTCTATCCACAGTCTAATGAGCAAGGTCAATGTCTAAACAACCCAGTTGACCATTTACTAGAGATAACACTTATCATGCCAAATACGCCCACATAGCGTACTTCAGGCTCCCATAACAACAAAAAATCAAGGAATATAGGTCATCTGTTTCTCCCAAAGACAATCCGAGGATTCACTCAATGGCTAAGGCTTTGGCTTTTACCAATAGGTAAGCCAATGGATTTGTAATTTTGCATCTAGAATCATTCTAGGATATTCCTTATGTAAATCATCGAAGACAAACCAAGAATTTTCCCAAAACAATCCCTAAGGATTGTACATCCGAGCATATAAATTACATCACCCATGTCCATCATATCTAAAATAGAGGACTGCCCACCCTAGGTGGCGACAACCTTGTAAATACTTGGCTCATAATGACTAAGTAAGGAAAAACTTCTTTTGGACCATTGATCATGCCTCAGTGGTCTTCATCGATCATCGTTGGCCTATCATGGCTTGACGAAATCTAAGAACCACTATTTGGATAACTGTTTTAGGCTGTAAAAGATTTATTGGAACTAGCAACCTTTTTGCGCTCCTAACTTTTCACCATAAAAGCAGAAGGTAAATCCCCTTGATAACCCTCTTCACAAACAATGGTCCAGCAGCTTCTCTAAGCTCAAAACTAGCCAAAAACTTCAAGAACAGCCTCTTAGTACCTCAGTAGTTAAAAGAAGGTGTGATGGTGGGTGTTTATGCACAAAAGTAAGACAAAACACACACAAAACACAAAAGAGAGGGAGATATAGATATAGGATAGATAAACAACTCAAACCCTAAAACCGTATCTAGCGAGCCTTATGCCTCAACAATGACTATCCAAATTATGCATAACTTTAGAACAGTTTCGCTTCATAATGGAAAGTCAACCAAATTATAGAAATAGTTAATCCTCAAAGACTTTGTCTTAAACTGCGCAACATTAATCCACTTTCTAAAAACAGGGGACTAGAGCCTTTGGCATTATCCTATGCTCTTTATTATCTTGCGGAGCAATCATGAATGTTTCCTTTTCAATCACCTAGTGATGACATGGAAAATTTTCACATTTGGTACCATGCAACTAAAAATGTAAAGTATTCTTCACTAATGCACATTTGCTACCACGCAACTAAGAATATGGAGTAATCCATTAGTAGGCACATCACTCCCATTGTCCCTAGGATATTGGAAATTTCTTTCCATTCTCAACTAGGCTACATAGGGCGCTATGCTTAGAATTCTCTATCTTATAGAGTTCCAAAAACTCTATTCACGTCACCTTTACTAAGAAAACTTTATGTGACTTAGTTGCACTCCTACAAAGCTGCTTACCTATATGCACATGACCCGGAGGGTTTACATGACAACATACAATAATGCACCACGTGACCCTATGTGTTTACAAGACAGCATACAATAATGCGCTATAGAACCCTAGGTCTTAACTTCGCAACCTTATGAGAAGTAAAATAAGGATAAGCTGCTTTGATGGTTACAGTTCACCCACAAATGGCTCTCTGCTAACCCATTACTTAAATGGAGTGTAAAATCTGATATGAAGGGCACTTAGTTAGGGATATAGGCAACAAACTAAAGTGCAATTCCCAATTGGGAAACATTTTGCACCATTATCCACCTAACATTAACAATACTTAATTCCTTATCTCTACTACACCATTGTGTTGTTGAGTACTAGGAATAATCATTTTTCTAAGCATCCATCTCTCTTCACAGAGTTTTCTAAAAATAACTCAAATAGATACTCGCCACCTTGGTCAAAACTAAAAGCACAAAAAACTCTTATCTAATTGATCTCGACCTCATATGTGCAATGTCAAAAATCATCTCAAAACTTTTGACTTATGGGAGATCAAATAGTCTTGACTCAGATGCGTATCGTAATCTATAAATGTGTCGAGATTGAGACTTAGCTATCATGCCCTTACACATATCTAGTCGCAAATATCATAGTGGACTAAATGCGCCAATACAAATGACCTTCTACGACTTTCCTACTTACTTATGCGCAACCATTGCAAACAAAGTTACACATTCATATGAGAGCAAGATGTCACAAGCGAGTGGGGCCCAAGAGGGCCTACTCAAAACTTCCATTCATCTTCTCATTAATGTGATTAAGTATAATAAGCCACCGGTTCATGACCAATGTTATAAACTAATTTCAATCATCCTAATGTGTGAGTTCTCGAAGACAAGTTTTAAAGGTTTATGCCCAACTAGGTAATGACTCACGACTAATTCATATTCACTAGATCATAAAAGGATGTCATGGAGATATCAAGTGCGCCTAAGTCGCAAATTTAACTAGTAAGTGCTAATCCCCTGCACCTTTAAGTCAATTTTATTCTCTATACACTTTAATGCATCTAGTTGAAAGATGATGATACTCCTCTTGCCATATCTATTTTTCGCTTCATAGTTACTTGTAATTAATTCTACTATCCACAAGAAGGAGAGAATAAGCTATCAATTGTGACAGCTCCTGAAGGAACTTAAGCGCGAATTAGGCTAAAGAGTCTAATTCAACACAATGCTATTATTTACAAGTCAAATTACAAAGTCAATCCACGCAGCTCATTAGTCAAGATCATAGACAGATCTATTGAGGGCTTACTAATTTCATAACTCCAAAACTCGCCAACCAAAACTACGTAGCGTGCCACTAACCATAACGCACACATTAGTTTTTATTATGCCAAACAAGGCAACAAAAACACGACAACTTTGAGTCATGTTTCCTTGCTTTGGCTCAATTAAGATTTGACCAAAAGTTTCCAAGACTTTTGCTCATCTAAAGAATGGGATTGGATTGTTCACATTTGAACATCTCTACTAAGTCTAGGTCAACCAAATTAACTTACATAAGCTAAATCAATATAGAGAGAAATTCGCATTGGGATTAATTTGATTAGCATAATATAATTTTGCCGCAAAAATCTAAATTAAATAGTGACAATATTACACAAGTCGCAAGATCGAAAATCCGCTATGCACGTAATCATCTCTTGCGCCACAGGTGACAATTATTTAAAATTCAATTTAATTTATGCACAAACTATTGATTTTCGGGAGTAAATCTACAAAGATTTCTCTCAACCGAACAACCTCCCACTAACTATGGCATGTCTAAAAGCATGATAAAATATTCTAATTCCATACAATAGCATCATAATGTAGATTCACAATCAACTCATGCTATGTCACAATTAATAATGGAATTTAAACAAATAACAATTAATCATGCTATTCTAATTACAACATATTAGAAACTCTAGGCAAAAAATAACAATATACTGTATTTAATATTCAAATTATGCCATAACAGAAAGTATATCACTTCTGGAATTTTCTGAAATTTTCTGGTATTTTCTGGAATTTTAAATAACTAATAAACACACATAAAATTAGAAATAAATATTCCAGAATCTGATAAAATGCAATAACCATACGAGTAAATAGTAAACTACAACAATAGTCTACAATAAAAAATTCAGCCTCAGAAAATTTATCATGCAACACTAGATGCATTTTAAAGCAGAAATAATGAATTATTATTTCAGGAAAAATATTTTTTATTTTCATAAAATTTTGAAAATTTTACAAAAGATAGAAAATATAATTCTGAATCTAACAATACCAACTATGCTTAAAACGAAGCTATAACGAATTAATTATGACCATTTAACGTGATTCAAAATTCAAAACAGAACAAACAGCGCCTTAGTACCAGCAGCCAAGCCAGCTAAGCCGCGGAGGAAAAACGGCATGGCTCAGCACGCGGCTCAGCGGCGGCTCAGAGACGGCTCGGCGGCGGCTCACACGCGGCTTAGGGAGCGGCTCACACGCGGCTCAGCGCACGGCGCGTGGAAGCGCGTGAAAGGGCGTGGCAGCGCGTGGAAGCCTCCCACGGCGTCAGGTGGCGCGTGAGGCCCACGCTCCGCCTTCCAGGTTGTTTTCTGGCTCGATTTTTGTACTGTCAGACTCCATTTTCCAAAATAAATACATTTATGGTCTCAAAAATGACATTTAATGGACATAAAAATGAGATGTATCACACTCTCAATCTAATTTTCATGCATATAATGTGTATGTATATTTGTATAAAATTATACACATATTTTATCGCATAAAAATAAGCACGAAAATACCCATATAGGCTCTGATACCAATGTAAATCAGAAAGCATTATAACGCAGCGGAAAAAATATTTAAATCATACTTTTAGATGATAGAACCTCGTTGGTAAATCTTGTGCTATCTAAATTTGATCAATCAACCCAGCAATGGAGTGATATTACAGACGAATATCACCCACACAAGTCACAGTGCAAAATGGCTCTTGATCGTTGTTTTTTGGGAGAGAGTCAGTATATGGGTGAGAGACTTAGTATATGGGAAAAACATATGACATACGTTATTCTTCTCTTAATCACCCATATCCCATATTATATAGGATATATAAGATATCTATCCATATCAATTATAGTTGATATGATAGATATAGATATCTTGAGTGGTTATCCAAATAGGTTTTGAATTCAAATTCAAACTTATTTGGATAAGGTTCAAAAGGTTCAAAGAAGGGTCAAGCCTCATGGGCGCCCAATTTCTAAGCACGGCAGCTCAGATGAGCAAGAAGAGAAAGTTCGTAGCTGATGGAGTGTTCTTTGCGGAGCTGAATGAGGTATTGATGAGAGAGCTAGCAGAGGATGGGTACTCCGGAGTCGAGGTCAGGGTCACTCCAATACGCACTGAGATCATCATTAGAGCCACTCGAACTCAGAATGTTCTCGGTGAGAAAGAGAAGGGGATTTTTAGAGAGAGAAAGCTTAACAGCAATGGCATCTAGGTTATGGATATGCATGTTTGTCTTCATTCTCTCTCTCATCGTAGGGACATCTGCTTCTGAAACCGAGTACACATCTGCTTCTGAAACCGAGGACTCAGAGTCGAAAGAGTTCGTTCTGAATCTAGATCACTCTAACTTCCACGAGACTGTTAACAAGCACGATTTCATCATCGTCGAGTTCTACGCTCCATGGTGTGGCCACTGCAAGAAGCTTGCTGCAGAGTATAAGAAAGCTGCATCTGTACTCAGTAGTCACGATCCTCTAGTCACTCTAGCAAAAATTGATGCCAGTGTTGAAACGAACAAGGGACTTACAAGTGAATTTGAGATTAGTGGTTTCCCCACAATTAAGATCTTGAGAAATGGAAAGAAGCATATTCAAGAATACAAAGGACCTCGGGATGCTGAAGGTATTGTTACTTATTTAAAGAAGCAAAGTGGCCCTGTAACGCCCCGACCCTTCACACGTCATCGATATTGTCCGCTTTGGGCCACGCCCGCACGGATTTATTTTTCCCAGTGGGTCACCTATCCCAGAACTGCTCCAGCCTAAGCACGCTTAACTGTGGAGTTCTATTAGGGATTTCACCACCCGGGAAAAGGCCTCGATGCTATATAAGGGTCTAGGTTTTTACTTTTATAGCCCAGGAACTCCCCCTCCATTCCCGATGTGAGACACCGTGCGTCTGCTGAAATAAAATCTGCAGAAGATGCTAATGCTCTTATTGATGGCGAAAAGATTATTGTCGTTGGGGTGTTTCTAGAATTCTCTGGAGAGAAGTTTGAGAACTTTACAGCTCTTACTAAGAAATTGCGGTCTGACTATGAGTTTGGTCACACATTGGATGCAAAACTCCTGCCTCGTAGGGAATCATCAGTGACTGGTCCTATAGTCAGGTTGTTCAAGCCATTTGATGAGTTTGTTGTTGATTTCCAGGATTTTAATGTGGATGCTCTTGAGGAGTTTGTTGAAGAAGCAAGTACCCCTATTGTGACTCTCTTTAACAATGACCCTAGCAATTAGCCATTTGTTATTAAATTCTTCAACAATCCCAACGCTAAGCCAAAGTGAGGAGCTTGGTGAGAGCAACATTTTGATCGGTGGAGATCAAAATCTGGCAAAAATCGAAAAATTGGATTTTTGGCTTGTTTCCTCTTCTAACTTGAGGTAGGGATTTTCTTTGAGTTATATATATATTTTTTTGCAAGATCTAGATGGTTTTTCGAAATCACCCTTTGATAGCTTCTGAAAATTTATTTTGATTTAAGAAGTTGACCGATTTTGAAAGTGGGTTTGTCTTTTGTTCTTTTAAAATAATCTCATGGGTTTTGATCTTTGTTGATTGAAGAAAAGATGATTTTCGAGAGTTTTCTGTCAAAAGATTTGAGCTATGTAGTTTGGTGAGAAAACCTAGAAATTGGAGATTTTAAAAGAGATTGCAAATCCATGGATAATATTGTTATATTTAATTTTGTGTGCCAAAATAAATAATGTTTATAAAATTTCTTATTTATATTTGTATAAATGATTAATTTTGTGGATTATGAGAATTGCTGTTCATTTTAGAAATGATTATTCAGAATGTTGATATAGTCTTGAAATGACTAAACTATTGAGAATATTTAAGAAGAGGAAATTGTGTTATTCTTTGGATGATGAATTGGAATAAAAGTATTTATGTTCATCTTGTGAAATTGGCATATCATTTCATTTTATTATATTAGACTTTGAAGGTTGATTTGAAAACTTGCATTGAAAAAAGAATGTTGAGAAATAAGTTTTCATGAAATAGTTTTGGGGTAAATATGTTGGTAAGTCTAAATAGGTGGTGTAGAATAAGTTGGCCTACCGGTCCGAGGTGAAAGATCAAAAAATCCGCACGGATAGGTGTCGAGCCTTCCGGTTAATACCGGTAAAAATGTCAATTTGGTAATATTCGTATAGTCTACTTGCAGACACCAGCCTAGGGATTACCAGAGACGTATTTACTGCTCTTGAAATAAATTGTTAAGTTTTGAACAATTGAAATTGTATGACATCATTGAGAATGATGGTTTTTGAAAAAATGAAGGTGTGTTTTACGTTCAAAAAGGGCATAGCATGGCACGTGCATTTCATCTTTTGAGACTTGTATAAAATGTATATACTTTGTTAAGAATTTCCTACTAGGCTTTATACTCACCCTACGGGATTTTTGTGCAGGAAAAGACGTGGTGTTTCCGCCTAACTGAAGGCGTGGAAGTGTGTGTAGAGAGCATAATGTGCTCATTTACTGTGCCTCTGATTGTAAGCCAAGGGCTTTGTATGTGTGGGTTTGAATAACCGTTTTGTGTAACCAGGCTCAAGCCTTGGAAACTTGTAAACCCTTGGGGTTATTTGTTGTTTAATTAATTGTTCTTGGATTAATTATATTATTACATGAAGACTATTTATATCATGTAATGCAAGTATGGAGATTTATTATCAGTTTTGCTTTAAATGCCCATGATTATTGTATTACCATTTGGGCATGAAAATGGGGGCGTTACATAGGGGGTGTTTGATAACATGATTCAACACTTAAAACTGAATTGATTAAGTGATAATCAATTAAGCTCGTTTGATAACCATAATTGATATCACTTAAAAATTTAAGTGCATCTTAAAATGTAGGTTAAAACTTAAGAAAAATTTAAGTCATATAAAATTTACTTAATTCTGACTGAATTTATAAATATTGAACATAAATATTGATATAAACAATTATAAACTCATTACCACTACCGCTACCACTACTACCACCACCATCATGCCCTCGCTATCGCTACCACTACTACTACCACTACCACTACCACTACCACTACCAAAATGCCACTGCCACTGCCATTGCCATCACAACCACCACCATCATGTCACCACCACCACCACCACCACCATGTCACTGCTACCACTACCACTACCACTACCACCACTGCCATCATGCCGTCGCAACCACCACCGCTACTACTATCACCTTCATCACCATTGTCATTATTGTCACGAACATCACCATTATTTTATTACTATTATCATCGCTACCACCACCACTACGCTGCCGCCACCACTATCACTACCACCACTACCACTATGTCACACCACCATCACCACCACCATCACAATATAAAAATTAAAAATAATAAATTTCAAATTTAATCTTATACATATCAAATAATTTATTTTTAATTCAGCACTTAAATTTTTATCGAACAGTTTTTCAACTTAAAAAATTCAGCATTCAAGTTTTAGTACTTAATTTTCAGTCTTCAATTTTCAAATTTCAACTTTATCAAATGCCACCTAAATCTGAATCATAAAACAATAATTCTAAATAATTTATAAATTATTAGATTTGAGTTCGTAATAGGGATATTTACCAATAAATCCCATCTCATAAACAAGAACTCCAATTAGTTCCAAATTTTTTCTATTGATCTGTCAAGTCCTATTAGTGGAGAGTTTATTTCTGTGTAGTCCTATTTTTGATTTTGGTAGTATTTTGGTACACAGCGATACATTTTTATTAATGTGATATGTATGACGTGATACTCCAATGTGGCCGGTATTAATGTGACACTCCAATGATGTGACACTCCCAAAGAATTAAAAATTTCTTAGTGTACTTTTTCTAAATGTTGGCGGGTATGACGTGACACTTTGAAACTTTTATTCAAAAAAAAAAAAAAACTCTTTAATACACTTTTTTCAAATTTGACAACATGACAAGTATGATGTGACACTTCAAAAAAAATAAAAACTCTTTAGTGTACTTTTCTTAAATGTGGCGGGTATGATGTGATACTCTAAAAACAATTAAAAATTAGTTAGTGTACTTTTTCCAAACATGATATATGACACTCCAACGTGGCGAGATGAGGTGACACTTTAGAAAAATTAAAAACTCTTTAATATATTTTTTTCAAATGCGACATTCTAACGTGACGGGTATGATATGATACTAAAAAACTCTTTAGAATACTTTTTTCCAATTGTGACACTCCAATGTGATGGACAAATGAGTCATTATATATCTAAAAGGACTAAATGGATCATAAAAAAAATAATAAAATTATGTAGATTATAAATCTAAAATATAAGATTTATTGATTAATCTCCATTCCTAATATTGCTGAATTAAAGTTTGTGGAACAAAACCGGTTATGTTGTTGGCCCATGGTTTTGTTCAAGAAAACAGTGGGGTATAAACCATGGGCTGGTTTTGTCTTTGAAAACTTGTCCTTTAGAGTAACTGTTTTGTAGGGTGTCACGTGGGTCTTCCTTCAATAATGTACAGATTTGTTTGCTTGTTTAAATATGGGCTGGTGAGGCCAAACTGTGAAGAACTTAATTTGTTAAACCATCCTATTTGATCCCAAGAAGCACATGGGTGTTGGTGATTTTTTTTTTTTTTTTAACCCATGGTTGATTATTGTTGTAGTTTGGTAATCGTTTTGCTGGGCCACGACCTGTGCTGTGTATTACTAGATGTACGAAGTGTGTTTTCAAGGTGATTTTATTTGCACTAAAAAATAATAAATATGCTTAATTAAAATGTTAAAATTTTAAATTTTATTATATTTTGATATAAATTTATTAATAAGAGTAATACATATTAAATTTTAAAATAAAATATTATATTGTTTCTCATAATACATCCTAATCACTTATAGGTATTTTTTATATCAAGTCTTTTCATCTTCCTTCTAAAATTTTAATTATTCTTTTTTTTATTCTTTCTTACTTCAAAATTCCAATTCATCCTATCAAAATTTACTGTTGTCATCAATATTATTATTTCTTATTATGTAGTTACTTGTAAATAGAATAAAATTTAAACAAAATCAATGGATGAGAATAATAATTAAAACTGATTTTTGGATCAACCCATCAAAGATGAGGTAGGTATTCACATAAATATTAAAAATACAATTCTTAATTTATATATTTTTTTAACATAAAAATAAATATTTAAAAATTTAAATAAAACAATCTTGTTTAACACTAGACGGTGGAACAAGCCATCAGAGGGTAAAATCAAACATTATGGCGCTAAAAAACCTAAAACCACCAGAGGGTAAAATCAAATATTACGGCGCTAAAAAACCTAAAACTACTATCCCAAACAAATGAATGAAAAAACATGAAAACGTAATGAATGAAAAAACATGAGCAATTCAATGTATTTCTTGAATGAAAAAACATGAAAACGTAATGAATGAAAAAACATGAGCAATTCAATGTATTTCTTGAATGAAAAAACATGAAAACGTAATGAATGAAAAAACGATGATCCAGTGCACCCACTTCCAAACCAAACCACACCGACTTTTGTTTTGTCCTTTTCCTTCTTCAAATAGCCAACTCCCACCATCTACGGACACATGTCCGGATCACTGTACAACAAGGGTAAACCCGGGATCGCTGTAATTTCCTTTTTTATATAATTTCCAAATAGATGGTTAAGGTATAGTGGTTTCTCGAATGAACTTTCATTTTTAATTTTATGCAACTTCCATTTTT